ACGAGAATTTCACTCACTTCAGACATTCCTGGATGAAACCTGCTCCTAAATCAGGAAGAAGATCCTGAACACTCGACACCAAAGAAGCCATTTCTATGTCTGTTGGTAACGATGAGCCTACCTCTGCATACCCATTCATGCCACTTACATCAACTGAATTCTGGAAAGTAAACAATAACGTATACCATTTATCTTTCTTGCATTACACAAAAGAAATCACAAAGTGTTAAGACATATGGACCACAATATACCCATGAATATTACCAAATACTATTGTATTTTTGGCAGGTCCTTTTTTTTTATATATCACACTGCAACAAAAGAATCAAATAGCATGCCTATTAGATTTACCAAAGACATAATGAAATGACGCAGCACACACTAACCTCAGCTCCCTCTTGTAGTGTTAATTCCTTCAGGTCATTTGACAATCCCATCTCTAAGAGAACCGACTGCACTGCATCAGTAATAAAGCTAAGATTTGTGATGTCACCTCCATGTTCCTGAAATAAGAATGAATTTATCCTCAACATATATTCCAAAGGTTTTATTTCCTTCATAAAATTGCAAGTATGACCTGCTACATGATGATCCAATGTGACAAAAAAAGAGTAATAAAAATATCCATACCTGGTAGAATTCAGTTTCTTTGCTCAAGGGATATAATGAGCAGTAGTCAGAAATGAAAACTTTCTCTTCCACGCAAGTTGACATGACTTGAACAAATTTCTCAATGCATCCTTCTACTGTAATTGACACTGGTCTGTAATTCAGTAGAAAAGGTGAGTTGATCTATATAAATTCAAAAGCATAAAAAAGACAAAAAAAAAAAAAAAAAAAAAAAAAATTGCAGGAATTGATCTTAACCGTTTTGAGATATAATTTCTAAAATGTATTACTATATCATATATAGGAATATCTATAAAAAATGTATACACATTGAAATTTTACCACAAAAGGAGTCTATATCATATATTCTAATATTTCTTTTTATTAGTGTGCAAACAATAATACATAAATAGTTTCTTAACAAACGCATGCACCTATACTGCTATAATCCTAACATCAGCAGAGGAAAAGACTTCAAATCATATTTACTTTGATATATATCAAAAATGTCAATACAGAAGCACCAAATTTCAAAATCAATATTCCAACAAGCATAGACTGACAGTTACCCAAGTCCTATACCACAATTTCATAAGCTGCACCAAAACCCCTTAGTTTAAGTTGCAATTCTAACATCATCACACCCATGCCTATGATACAAAACTTACTTATCACTTGTGTTCAGAGGAGCTATACATTTGTTGTGCAAAATATATCTAAAGGTTGCGAGCATGGATGCCCTAGCTATTTGGACCTTTTGAATGAGCTTGGTGGCCCATAGTGCATGATCTGGTTCTTGAGACCAGTCACTCAGGTTCTCCATTAGAGATGGAATGACTCTTTCGTAACAAGTTGATAACCTGTAGAAGAAGAGGAAAGTGAATTAAGATTAAGCATCAATATTCTTAAAATGATTCTACAATTTTATTTAAATCATGCTACTAAGGTTATTATATGGCTAAAAAAAGTATAGATAAATGGAGTAGTCAAAAAAACTTGAGACCTTTACCTTAATTCAAACGAGGCTTTATGGAAAATTCTTGCTGCCGGGGGATGAAGAGAAATGAGCATTTGCAGAGAATAGAATGTGTCTAGTAGGTATAAGGTTAGATCGTGCAAATCTGCTAACGATAACTCTCCCTCTGAACTACCTAGGGCAACAGGTATATAATTCTCTGCAACATTCAATTTCTCTTCAATATTTTCTAAAGCCTGAAAAGACAAAACAATACATATGAGCCTCTTGTACACACATATAATGTTAACTTCAGTATACAAATTTCTTACACTTTGGGGGACCAATATTCAAATTATAATTTTTCACATGTACACACACAAAAAAAGTTTTACTGGATTAAGTTTCATTCTTATGATGGTTTGGGGATGGAACTGAGGCTGATATGGGTTGGAATACCTTATAAAGTAAAACCAGTAAAACTTGAATAGAAAAAATTGTTTCCCTCAACAGGTTTACATAGTTACATGCAAAAGACTATCTTCAATCTATAAAAATCATAACAATAAGATAAATTATTAAGTGAAAGTACTTACCATATTCATGGAAGACATAATCTGCTCAAGATCATCATAATATTTGGGTTGGTTTGTAAAGATGTTCGAGATCATTTTTCCAATCAATGCATAATTGTTCGGACCATACAGAACACAGATGTCAAGTAATTTGCATATATCAAAAAGGAAATTATCGTAAATAATATCACCAAATGCAGAAGGGGTTATGTGACAGGTCTGAAATGAGATAGAGAATATGAATTAGTAAGTTTAATAACCTGAAACAGTAACTTTTCTTTAACTCACTGATGCCATGTCCACTGAGTGTTTTTTTGCTTATTGGTTGTCTTTACACTTACATAATTGTTTAATCACCAAG